TAATTTATATTTTTATATATACATTTTTTTCTTTTCAAATTTTTATTTAAATTCTAGTTAAGTTAACATACAGTGCAATATTAGTTTCAGGAGCAGAATTCAGTGATTCATCACTTACATACAACACCCAATGCTCATCTCAAGTGCCCTCCTTAATGCCCATCACCCCATCTAGTTCATACCCCACCCACCTCCCTCCATCAACCCTCAGTTTCTTCTCTATCATTAAGAGTCTCTTATGGTTTGTTTCCCTCTAATTTTTCCCCCCTTCCATATGTTCATCTGTTTTTTTTCTTAAATTCTACCTATGAGTGAAATCATATGATATCTCATTCTCTGACTTATTTCTAGTTCCATCCACCTCATTGCAAATGGCAAGATTTCATTCTTTTTGATGGCTGAGCAATACTGCAGTGTGTGTGTGTGTGTGTGTGTACACACAACATCTTCTTTATCCATTCATCAGTCAATGGCCATTTGGCTGTTGTTGATAATGCTGCCATATATATATAATGCTGCTATAAACACTGGGGTGCATGTACCCCACAGAATCTGTATTTTTATATCCTTTGGGTAAATACCTAATAGTGCAATTGCTGGATTGTAGGGTAGTTCTATTTTTAACTTCTTGAGGAATTTCCATACTGTTCTCCAGAGTGGCTGCACCAGTTTACATTCCCATCCAACACTGCAAGAGGGTTGGTTCCCCTTTCTCTGCATCCTCACCAACACCTGTTCTTTCTTGTGTTGTTCATTTTAGCTATTCCGACAGGTGTGAGGTGGTATCTCATTGTGGTTTTGATTTGTATTTCCCCTATGATGAATGATGTTGAGCATCTTTTCATGTGTCTGTTAGCCATCTGGATGTCTTCTTTGGAAAAATGTTTTTCATGTCTTCTGCCCATTTCTTAACTGGACTTATTTAGTTTTGGGTGCTGAGTTTGATAACTTCTTTATAAGGTTTTGGATACTAACCCTTTATCAGATATGTTGTTTGCAAATATGTTTTCCTATTCTTTTCAGTTTTATTGATTGTTTTATCCATATCTGTTTAAAGTTTGAAACAAGTACTGCAAAATGCCTGGCTTTCAGGAGCTGGATGATAGGTCCATGGCTTTTCACTTTATCTCTCTATTTTTCTCTAAGGTTAAAATATTAATTAAAAAAATATATCCCAGGGCGCCTGGGTAGCTCAGTTGGTTAAACGTCTGCCTTTGGCTCAGGTCATGATTTCGGGATCCTAGGATCAAGACCCATGTCGGGCTCCCTGCTTGGCAGGGAGTCGTCTTCTCCCTTTCCCTCTGCCCCTCCCTTTCCCCATCCCCCTCTGCTCTTGCTCTGTCTCTGGCTTTCTCTCTCTCAAATAAATAAGTAAAATCTTAAAAATAAAATAAAAAAAAAAAACTCATAATATTAATGGAACATTATTAAGCCATAAGGACCTCAATACATGCCTATATGAAATAAAATGAAAGATTAATATGAAAAGGATAAACAAAAACCAAAAAAAACAAGCTACTAAGAATTCCAAATATGTTCCTAAATAACTTTTGGGTCACAGAAAAAATATAAACTTTAAAAATGTATTTTCAGAAGAAAATTCACAGCCTTAAATGCAAGAAAGAACATAAATACCAAACTATAAAAATCAAGATGCTAAGAAAATATAAATCTACAAACGGGTGAAAATAGATTTTTCTTTATCTTTTCTTTTTAAAAAAAAATTTCATTTATTTATTTGAGAGAGACAGAGAGAGCACAATCAGGGGGAGTGAGAGGGACAGGGAGAGGCAGCCTCCCCGCTGAGCAGGGAGCCAGATGTGGAGCTCGATCCCAGGACACTGGAATCAGGATTTGAGCCAAAGGCAGATGCTTAACTGACTGAGCCACCCAGGCACTCCAGATTTTCTTAAATAAAAAAGCAAAAGCAAAAACAAACAAAAAACAGGAAAAAAAAAACAACACAACTGATAAATACAAGAGCTTTTATAAACCAAACACATAAACAATAAACCAGTCTCTAGCAAATCTCATTTTTTAAAAAGGAAAACATAATAAAAACAATGAGGGCTGCCTGGGTGGCTCAGTTGGTTAAGCATCTCTGCCTTCCACTCAGGGTCCTGGGATTGAGGCCAGCATTGGGCTCCCTGCTCAGTGGGGAGTTTGCTTCTCCCTCTCCTTCTGCCCCTCCCCCCACTCGTGCTCATGCTCTCCCTCTTTCTCAAATAGATAAAAAAAATCTTAAAAACAAACAGTGAGGGGACGCCTGGGTGGCTTAGTCAGTTAAGCGTCTGCCTTCAGCTCAGGTCATGATCCCAGGGTCAAGTGCCGCATTGGGCTCCTTGCTCAGCAGGGAGCCTGCTTCTCTCTCTCCCGTCTGCTGCTCCCCCTGCTTGTGCTCTGACAAATAAAAATAAAATTAAACTAAAAAAAAACAACAAGAAGACGGGCTAACAGAAGAGATACGGAAAAGAGTAGAAGATATGCTACTTTGTATAGCCTATGCTAAAAAAAACTTGAAAATCTCTAAGAAAAAAGTGTCTCCTAGGAAACCTTATCAAGAAAGATGTAGCAACCTCACACCTGTCAAAATGGCTAAAACTAACAAGTCAGGAAATGACAGATGTTGGCGAGGATGCGGAGAAAAGGGGAAGTATGTTTTCCATACTCTGGAAAACAGTATGGAGGTTCCTCAACAAGCTGAAAACAGAGCTACCCTATAACCCAGCAATTGCACTGCTATTTACCCCAAAGATACAAATGTAGTGATCCAAAGGGGCATCTGCACCCCAATGTTCATAGCAGCAATGTTCACAATAGCCAAACTATGGAAAGAGCCCAGATGTCCATCGACAGATGAATGGGTAAAGAAGTGGTATATATATACAATGGAATACTACTCAGCCATCAAAAAAATATGAAATCTTGCCATTTGTAATGATGTGGATTGAATTAAAGGGTATTATGCTAAGTGAAATAAGTCAATCAGAGAAATATGATTTCACTCATGTGGTATTTAAGAAACAAAACAGAGGATCACAGGGGAAGAGAGGAAAAAAATAAAACAAGACGAAATCAGAGAGGGAAACAAACCATAAGAGACTCTTAATCATAGGAAACAAACTGAGGTGGCGCCTGGGTGGCTCAGTCGTTAAGTGTATGCCTTTGGCTCAGGTCATGATCCCAGGGTCCTGGGATCGAGCCCCGCAACAGGCTCCCTGCTCCACGGAAAGCCTGCTTCTCCCTCTCCCACTGCCCCTGCTTGTGTTCCCTTTCGCTGTGTCTCTGTCAAATAAATAAATAAAATCTTAAAAAAAAAAGGGAAACAAACTGAGGATTGCTGGAGGGGAGGGAGGTGGGGAATGGGGTAACTGGGTGATGGACATTAAGGAGAGCACATGAATGTAATGAGCACTGGTATTATATAAGACTGATGAATCACTGACCTCTATCTCTGAAACCAATAATACATTATATGCTAATTAACTGAATTTAAATAAATTTTAAAAAGATATAGCAAAGAAATTATGGATGGGGAAAACATGAAAAAGTTAACAGAGAACTGGCAGAAACAAATTTTTCAGTGCTTTCTTTCAAATCTATGCTATGTATCCTTCTCAATTCATTTTATCAAGTTAGTCATCTTATAAAGCCAGCACATGCTTGAAATAAAAATCTAACAAGGAGAAAGCACAAAATTATCATACAGAACAACATCATTCCCTTTGCCTAAAATTCATTCTCTGCCCCAAATGTTCCCATTCATCATTCCTTTTCATCATTCAGGTGTCAGCTCAAATATAACCTCCTCAGAAATGCCTTACTTCACCACCCTATTTAAAATAACTCCGATGGGGCGCCTGGGTGGCTCAGTTGTTAAACGTCTGCCTTCGGTTCAGGTCATGATCCCAGGGTCCTGGGATTGAGTCCAACATCTGGCTCCCTGCTCCACGGGAAGCCTGCTTCTCCCTCTCCCACTCCCCCTGCTTCTGCTCCTGCTCTCGCTAGCTTGCTCTCTCTGTAAAATAAATAAAATCTTAAAAAAATAAAATAAAATAACTTCGAGATCCTGTGACATTTCCCATACTCATCTTATTCACAACATTTATTACAAATTAAAATTATCCAGAATTAAGCTCCCTGAGAGTAGGATATTAGTCTTGTTCCCGGATATATGTATACCAGAGCCTAGAATTTAATTGCTCAAAAGTGTGTTAAATAACTAAATATAATTTAGGAATATATTTCCGGAAATCTTTAGTACCCTATTAAAATAACATACTATAATTAAAACATAGTAATCTCAACAGAGATCATATGAACATAGTAAGATTGGAAGATAGTTGGCAGATACTTATTGAGAGCCTATGATGTGCTGGAATGTTTTAGATGCTAGGAAGACAGCAGTTAACAAAACCAAAAAATACCTCTGCTCTCACAGAGCTTAATTTCTAGTGATCTATCTCAAAACAATATCACACTCGATAATAAAACATTAGAGGCATTATAGTAAGGACAATGTTTGCTATTACCATTATTAAGTGACACTGTTATGAAGTTCTAGAAATTCAATGATCAAGTAAAAGAAACAAAAGATCTATATACGGAAAAAAAGAAATCACTGAGTTGCAGATGATACAGCTACCTAGAAAATCCAAAAGAATAAACTATAAAATATGTAATAAGAAAGTTCACATTAACGTATTTGGTTACAAGCCAAATATATAAAAATCAAGTTTTCCCAAAGAGCCACTGAAAAAAAATAAGAGAGAGGGGCACTATACAGAGGGATCTGGTCACCAACTTTTATAAAATTTTATAATAAACTTTGATCATAATTTTTCCTTCCCACACATTTATTTTTAAAGACTAACGAGTTGCAAATTAAAAAAAAAAAAACTTCTATGAAGAGAAAGGATTCCTGCTGGAAAAAATACATATCTTTGGTTCATTATCAAACCAGGAAAAAAGAAATAAGCTCAGAATGAATCCTACTATACCTCTATGTTCCAGTTATGCTGTTCCAAGGTATGGCGACATTGATCCATAGATTCTATGCCAGTCAGATCCTGAAAAGAAGGAAAAACCAAGAAGTTACTTAGGGAGAAACCAACAGTAAATATGTAGATATTTTTACCCCTTATACTTATGAATGCTGCTGGGAAACTACACTGAAAAGTACTGAAGGCAGATGTTCAAGTATGGTAAAAATGTCACTATTCAGAATTTACCTAGTCAGTTATAGCAGGTATTATTCCCATAGGGAAAAAAAATTCAAGTTTCTTACCCTTTAAAATTTCAAGGTTTTCAATTAAGATGACTACTGATTAAAATCAATTTCTCCTCTCAAACTGAAGTTTAAAAAATTAAAGATTTCTTCAACCACTGGGTCCAGCAAAATATTCTTTTTTTTATGTTAAGTTAGCCACCATACAGTACATCATTAGTTTTTGTTCAGTGTTTCATTAGTTGCATGTAACACCCAGTGCTCATTACAACATGTGCCCTCCTTAATACCCATCCCCCTAACACCCTCCCCTTTGAAACCCTTAGTTTGTTTCCTGGAATCCATAGTCTCTCATGGTTTGTCTCCCTCTCTGATTTCCCTTCCTTCAGTTTTCCCTTCCTTCTCCTAATGTCCTCCATACTATTCCTTATGTTCCACATATGAGTGAAACCATACGATAACGGACTTTCTCTACTTGACTTATTTCACTTAGCATAATCCCCTCCAGTCCCATCCGTGTTGATGCAAATGATGGGTATTCATCTCTTCTGATGGCTGAGTATTATTCCATTGTATATACAAACCACATATTCTTTATCCATTCATCCGTTGAAGGGCATCTTGGCTCCTTCTACCGTTTGGCTATTGTGAACATTGCTGCTATGAACACTGGGGTACGTAGGCCCCTTCTTGTCACTTCATTTGTATCTTTGGGGTAAATACCCAGTAGTGCAATTGCTGGGTTGTAGGGTAGCTCTACTTTTAACTTTCTGAGGAACCTCCGTACTGTTTTCCAAAGTGGCTGTATCAGCTTCCAGCAAAATATTCTTTAATGTTCAACAATTCTGTTTATAATATATAATAATACAATAATGCAGGTTTCCTGCAAAATATAATGCCTTACAATAATTTATATCATTTTACCTACTGGCATATAACCTAGCTTATAATATGAACTGTGTAAAACTGAATCTGTTATTCATAGGTTTCCCTATGATTAAGTATTTTCCCTATTCCCTTTTCCTTGGACTATTCTCAGATTTCACTTTGTTCCTTCTCTGGCTCCTCTTCATCCACCCCTCTAAATGGAATTTCCCTAAGGATGTGTCCCTGGTTTTCATCTCTCTATATCCCCCCTCCCTGGCAATCATAGATAGATAGATGATAGATAGATAGATAGATAGAGGGGGAGGGAGAGGGAGAGAGAATCTGAAGCAGACTCCATGCTGAGCACAGAGCCCGACACGGGGCTCAATCTCATTACCCTGAAATCATGACCTGAACCAAAACCAGGAGTCAGACACTTAACCAACCAAGTCACCCAGGCATCCCACTGGCAATCTCATTTAATCCCTAGTCTTCAACCACCCTTTCTACTCAGATGACTCCTAATTTAATCTCTGGGCCCGCCATCTCTTCTGAAGTTTAGCAGCACATTTCCAATAGCCTATTCAACATTTCCACCCAGATGTAGCATCAGTACCTCACAGGCATCATTTAAAACCACCACATGTGTTAATGACACCACCACTCTCCAAAATATACAGGCAGGGGCACCTGGGTGGCTCAGTTAAGCAACTGCCTTCAACTCAGGTCATGATTCCCGAGTCCCAGGATTAAGCCCCACCCACATCAGGCTCCCGGCTCAGCGGGGAGTCTGCTTCTCCCTCTCCCCCTGCCTCTCCCCCTGCCCGTCTCTCTCTCTCTCTCAAATAAATAAAATCTCAAATACACACACACACACACACACACACACACACAGGCAAAGATGACCTCGGGAACCTCAGCCTCATTTTTGAGTACTCTATGCCTTAACTCCACACTTCATCAGCAATCAAGTTCTGACCATTTTCTGTATTACATCTGTAACCACTTTTCCCTTCCCACATCCAGAATCTTTAATCAAGCTTTTATAACACTTCAACTGAATTGTCAAAATCATTATTTTCTCTCTCCAACTATTTTGTGTATGTGTGTGCACATGTACATGCATGTATGTATATTCCTCCTCTGCTCAAAACTTTTCAGATGATTGGATAGTAAATTCCAAAACCCTTAGCTTGGCATTCAAGTGTTCCTATTAACATTGACCCCAACCCAGCTTTCTAGATTATTTTCTATTTCCCTTCAGGTATCTAATACTTAATAAATCACAGTTCATATGTACATCTAATGACCAGAATTTCCACAGAGCTAAATCCTAAACTTCTTTTGAGGTCTAATACAAAAGTCAAATCCATCCATCCATCCATGTAACAAATATCTATTATCTATTCTCTGTCCTACTTACTATACCCAAGAGACACAAAGATGAATAGGATAAAGTCTCTATTCTAAAGAAATTCCTCTTAACAACCAGCAAGCAAAAGGAGAAAGAGATTGATCTCAACCTCACAATAATGTGGTAACATGCACTTCTGAATGAGGAGCCTGAGGTTTTCTTTTTTTGAAAGATTTTTTATTTATTTATTTGACAGAGAGAGAGAGACAGCAAGAGAGGGAATATAAGCAGGGGGAGTGGGAGAGGGAGAAGCAGGCTTCCCACAGAGCAGGGAGCCCAACTCGGGGCTGGAGCCCAATGCGGGGCTTGATCCCAGGACCCTGGGATCATGACCTGAGCCGAAGGCAGATGCTTAACAACTGAGCCACCCAGGCGCCCCATGGAACCTGAGGTTCTTGCCTTGATTCTGTACCCTGTAACCATGGACCAGACACATTTTAACTCTTCAGGATTTAATTCTAAAAGATTTTAGCTTCCTTTATGTGTACCATGAAGGACTTAGTTTGGACTGGTTGTCCTTTCCAGATCTTAAAAAAACCAAAAAACCTGAAGTTTGCATTACTTAGGTATGTTGGCAATTGTTTATTTTTTAAAAAACCCACTAGTATATAAATTTTGATAGGAAAAAAATTATGTTTAAAATACTGTACAAATTTCAAAACTAAAATTGAAAAGTTCTGTTAATTACTCTAGAGCTCTATTAATTAGACAAACTGGCTTTGGGGTGCCTGGGTGGCTCAGTTGGTTAAGAGTCCAACTCAGATCATGAGATCAAGCCCCACATCAGGCTCTGCACTGGGTGTTTGGAGCCTACCTAGGATTCTCTCTCCTTCTGTCCCTGCCCTGCCCTCTTAAAAACAAACAAACAAACAAACAAAAAAAACAAAAACCACTGGCTTTGACAGCTCTAACAGTCTGGACTTTAGTTTCTGACCACTCTAGGCCTTTTATCAATTTAGCTACTGCCTTCTGACTCCCCCCTTAACTTCCAATTTCCTCACAGCCTTCTGTAGAAGACTGGGGTTTCCCCTCCTCTGTATACATTCTCTTTAAGAATTAGACTCTACTTTTACCTTCTTCTCAGGGTGAATGGCCACTCTGCTTTAAATTGTTTTCTATCAATCTTATGTACCTATTTTTTTTTAAGATTTTATTTTTATTTATTTGACAGAGAGAGACACAGCGAAAGAGGGAACACAAGCAGGGGGAGTGGGAGAGGGAGAAGCAGGCCTCCCACGGAGCAGGGAGCCCAATGTGGGGCTCGATCCCAGGACCTTGGGATCATGACCTGAGCCGAAGGCAGACGCTTAACGACTGAGCCACCCAGGCACCCCGTTATGTACCTATTATTTTCTACCTTCTACTACAATTATTTATACTCTATTGCCTTATCAGAGGATATAAGCTCCTTGAGAACAGTGTCTAGGATATATCTATAGCACACAGGAAGGACCTAAAAAGTTACAGAAAAAGTTAGTCCAAATTAAAAAGACCTATATGTATAAGCTTTGATAACTGCCGCTATAAACTGAAATCCTCCAGACATTCTCATCAGGTCTCATTGTATATTAATACCCTGGGGCTTTAAAATCCCAAAAGTTCTGACTAGATGTTAAGCTGGGTGTTAAAAACACAAATTTGCAGAATCTTCCTGAAGGTAAGTCAGAGATGAAGCCTGGGAATCTTTTAAAGCTCTTCAATGAATTCTAATGTACACCAGGCTGGGAAATTCATGGTATTGTACAGTTCTACACACAAGAGATTATATGTCACTTATTAACTTTTTTTTGCACATCTTCAATATACTGAAACACCTAACCTAATTTGTAAGTAAAACTCTTTCGTAAGTAGTGAATCAGGGTGAACTGGAAGCCCAACTAAACAAGCCTGCTTTTATCACTACTATAAGTACTAAAACCATGCACTAGTAATAAGGAATTCTGGACACACCCAGGCAGGACTATTTATTCATCTATCAACAAATGTTCACTGACCCAGTATTCTAGATATCCAGGATACAAATACAGTTCCTGTTTTCATTAAGTTTATATCTTACCAGAGGCAGACTGATAAAAACAAACCACACACACAGAGCAAATAAATGAACACATTTTTAGGCTAGGGGATTCCTTTGGATTGAGTGTTCAAGGAAAGCCTCTATAAGAGCTTACTTTTCAGCAGAAAGCTGATGAAAGATAAGGGTTCAGCCATGGAAAAACATGCAGGAAGAGTATTCTAGGCAGGGCAACAAAGGTAAAAACTCAGACAAATGGATATATGACACTATACATTTGCAAAACCCATGGAACTTCATAGCAGAGTGAATCTTAATGCGTGTAAATTTAAAAAATCATTTAAAAGGTCAGAGGATCCTAGGATGGAACACAGCTTATGACAAAAGAATCTAATTGTATTATAAATATATGAAATGACCTCACTGAAGGGGATGAAAGGGAAAGGTGTGAACCTAAGTAGCTGTGGAAATGAGTGGAGTCTCTTAGACTAAAGGCAAAAGAAACTGCACGTAAGTGCTGTTCTCCAGTAGATAAAGGTGTTTGCCA